GGCCCGGCAGCGGTGCCGCCCCCGCCACCGGACGCTGGCACACCAGTCAATCACGGGCTGCAAGCCAATCCAGCTGCCGGCTGTTTCAGCCGGCTGGGAAGCTTACGTTGATCCCATGCCACATTCATTGGGACAACATCAACGAAGATTTCGATCGGAAATGCGGCGGTTGGAGCGCCGCCAACCCCCACATGGCGGTAATATTGCCATTAATGACCTGGTTCACTTTCGAAACTTATGCTTTCGTAGCCGGCGGTCGCCCTAAACGCCGTCAGGTGCTGGCTGGCCGGAAGGCGTCGGATCGGGTTATGACCATCACGGCAGCACAGCTGCAGCCGGGCGGTGAGTCACCATCTGGCCGAGCCTGTCGCTATTCCAATCACACCCCATGTTGAGATACGAGCGTGCGAAGCGGCGCCGACTGATGGCATGTTTACCGGCGCGGCGCAGGTCACGCCTCGCTCCACCCGCCGGCTAGGCGAGGTCGAGCCGGGCCGCTCTTACGCTTAAAACTGACAGCAGACGCGCCCCAGACTAAGCGCACTCCCACGCTGGCGCCCGCACACCACACCAGGGTCTGCGCACTGACGGCGGGCCGCGCCAGCTTCGCGCCCACCGCAGCGAGGAGGTACAAACATCTTCTCACATCTTTGAACTGGAAAGGGCTATAAGAACGAACGAAAAGCATTCGGCAGCTCACGCAAAACCGAACACAATTGTCTGTGGTCATTTTGATGACCGAGATCAGGGTAAGTTGGTATCAGGTCAAGCGCTACGTGGTTTTGTTTGATAGGGTGTTCTGCAACCGCGTCTCCGAGCTTATCTCTGCGCGTAAATCTCTCACATATTATAAGAATTGCATACACGTCACAGTTAATAACTACGAGTGTTTGGGAAGAGACATCATAGGACATCGGGCCATCCGTTTCCTTTGAACGAGAAATCCCTGCGCAAACCAACTGTATTCGTTTTTGACTGGGAGCAGACATGGAGGTCTTAAAAGCGATTTGAAGAAGAAAGAACACCTTTAAAGATCATGACAGGTCAAGCGGGTCGCAATCCCAAAATGGGATATTTGATTTATCATTATCACTTAAAGAATCATTACTGGCACAGAGTGATGTGGCTACTGGCGTCGAAAAATACCGACAGCATAACACAGCTCCTAAAAATACGGACCTCCAGCCTAGGGAAGGGAAGAGATCTACGACATTTGACGTCTCAGTGGCACCCACAGGTGAAGAAATTATGCTGTTGTTCAGGAAGTGCATGGAACCAACAGAAGACACTAGTAGAGTAGATGTTATATGTAGATAGTAGATAGTATATGTAGATGTATATGTAGATGTAGATAGTAGAGTAGTAGACACCTGTGATCGGAGCTCGTAACGTCGTAACGACATTGGGGCTTTACGACGCACTCAACTGCTGGGGCTATATGGCGTCGCCTGCCTCTCACCCTGGCAGAAAGGGCGGGCACCGTGGGGAATCGAACCCCGTACCACTGGTTTCCCAGACGTGCAGTGGTTAACGCAGACGCGTTAACCAGTACACTACCGGCACCCCGTGATCGGAGCTCAAAGTCGGGCTGGATTAATTACCTTTGATGACTACATCCTGCCACTGACAGGTCTGACAGTGACAGCGTTTAGTGGCCAGACCGTGAAGGTCACAGGAAGGCCATGTCACGACGTGCGCCGAAATGCATTACAATCATCATATTTTGGTACATGTCCAGACTACAACCACCCTAGGTCACTGACCTGACGTGCACTGAGCACGCAAGCTTCAGAGTACATGTGAAATTGATGTGGAAGAAGATTATGCACATTTCAGGAAGTCAGTCGCTCCCCCAGCCATTCTCAGAAGCGTCCAGAGCGGGGGCCTCCCCTCGGGTCGGCGCGGGGGTTAGTTACGCTGCACATCTCGCCTACCGCCGGCCGAGCACGTCTATCCTCAGCTTGTTTTTCCTGCGATGAGCGTGGCGCGATATCAGGCCCAGTGGCGCCGCCGCCGCTGCAGCCGCCCGCTCGCGTTACACGCCGAGACTCGGCGGCCTCAGCCGGCCGGCCGCGGTCACGGCACGGCTGCGGCGGCCGCTGCCCGCCGGCCTCCGCCGTCGGCATTCCATCCCGCCGTCCGTGCGCTCCGAGCGGGTGGGGGAGGGGTGTCTGTACGCCGCGCGGCCGGCGGCCGGGCGCGGCCCGTCTGAAGTCCCTATCGGCTCCGATCGGCCGCCGGCGCGCGCGCCAACTCTGCCGGCCGGGGCGGGGCGGCGGCAGCGCTTGAGCGCACGCACCATGAGCCCCGTGAGAGCCCAGACCGCGACCCCGCCGGCGGCCACAACATCGGCCCGGCCAACAGCAACAGAGGCCGGCCGACGGACGGATACGCAGAACCACCGGTCGGGACGGAGGGACAAGTGACAAGGGTCGGGGCGGGAGACGAGTGACACGGGCCAGAGCGTACGGACGGTGACATGGGTCACGGCGGAAGGAATGATCACACAGTCATGCGTGAACC